TATTATTTCGAAGAATTACATTTGATTATATTTCAATCTTGCATTTCGGATAATGTCAATAGATTTCGTGAATATTTCAGGGAATATCAATAAACACTCAGAATTGTCGAAATTTGGCCTGTACACTTTAGGATGCCCATTCCCTGGCGTCGACATGCAGGGTATGATGCATGCTCCGGGAACGACGACATCGACGCCTTCCAGCTGATGGCTCCTCTCTGTGGGTCGAAAGCGAAGGCGAGCGCGGCGGCGGCGCGCGCCTGACGGGAGCGTCGCGGATTGGAACGGGCACTGGATCATTACGAACACCGAGGCGTGCCAACGGCACGCCAGTAATATCGACACTTTTATAATCGATGGAATGAATTCGTGACGGGAGGGTCCCCGGATGGATGACGATGACAAGTTGTTAATTACAAAAGCCCATGCCACTACACTTCACTAAAAATAGCAGAAAAAATAAAATCAGGTATTTACTTTTTGGTCACATGTCCATTTCTCAGACTGGAAAGGGTTGGCTTATTATTACGTCTAGAAGAAGGTGGGCTTGAGCAGTACAGAAAAGAGTAGCAGCACACGGCGATCCTAATACGAAACTAATCAAACAATCTGCCTTAATTTATTTTACCCGTGTACACCACCCAACGGGCCCGACGGCGGCGGGCCGCGCAGCCTACGCGTGTATTAAGAATAATTAAAAAGTCAGACTCACTTCCGAGGTGGGCTTGAAATGCTCAACGTCGCTCTTGCTAAGTGTAGTCAGTCGGTGGCCGCTGCGCGCGGCAGACGCAGGGGCGTGGCGGCGGGGCGCGGCGGGGCGCGGCGGGGCGGGGCGGGGTGGGGCGAGGCAGGGCGGGGCGCGCCCATGGACCGTGGACCACCTGCAAAGCGAAGGGCATGAGGCCCGTAATAATAATAAGAGGCTCAATTATCGTCCATGACAGATGACGAATCCATTAAAATCGAGCCGGCTGCTACCGTGTGCGGGGCGCGCGGGAGATTTAAAAGTCCGGCAGAGCGCGCGCGGCCGCGACCACTATCGGGACGAGCTCGTCGGTGACGGACGAGCCGGGCCCGCCGACGAGCGGTCAGATGGACCTCGGGCGCATAAACATCCTCGGGGGCAACGCCGATTCAGGATCCGATCAACACAAACCGGCTATACGAACGGGCATCGTCCAGCCAGTCCATCGATAGGCGGAGGGGTTTATAACAGAACAGAGGGAGTGATCTCTCAATCTGTCTCTCGCTGCTGCTCGAATACGTCGCGGAATAAAACGCGTGTGTGATGGCTGCCAAACGACGATCACTCAGAGTCGTCAATAGTCGTCAACTGACCGCACGGAAAAAAAGATTAGCTATAGGGCTAAACAATTAAAGGAAAAGTAACTATTTAGCTATGTAGCTAAAATTTTAGCTGCCACAAACTATTCAGCCATCAAGCTAAAAAGTATAAAGGCGTTAGCTATAAATTAAGCTATGTTTCTGAACTTAACCAAATTTTTGCTACCCAATTTAACTACCCCAATTATTTAAATTAGCTATCCCTCATTAAGCTATTGGTTTAGCTCGTAAACTTTTTTTCGCGAGGAAGAGAGCCGAGAAGAGAGTGCGAGCCAGCGAGCGAGCGTGCGCTGCCGGGGTGGTGCTCGGGGCCGCGCGCACCGCGCGCACCGCGCGTCGTGCCGCCCGGAGATGAGTGAATCCTCCTGGAGCTGCTCACGGCGGCGGCGCTCATAGCTGAAGGCCGTCGTCACAGACTCTTACTTTTCGAGACCGCAAAGGTCAGGATAGACGGTAATGAGCGGGAGTCCCCCCTGCGCTCCCCGCGCTCTCCCCCTCCCCCCTTTGCTCTCCCCGGTGGAGCCACCGCCGCGGGGCCCACCGCGCGCTCCCTGCTGCAAAGCAGCTCACGAGGAAGGAATAACGAATCCGTGGCAAGGCTAAGGCCAAAGCGCCGCCGCCGCGTCCCTGCTGGGCCTCTCACACACCGACCGACTGACAGACGCGCAGGTCGAACCTAATCACCCAAAGAAAAAAACAACATCAACAACTACAGCCGCGCCGCCACAAACGTGAAATCCCGACGCGCGCGATCCAAAAGTGGGGTTATAATCAAATTTCGAATTACACGAACAGCAGCAGCAGCAGAGACGCGCGCAAACGACAAACACAGTAATTATCTTCATCCCCGGGAGGAGAGGCAAAAGCGCCGCGCGCCGTCGTGCCGAAACGCACGCGCCATTATTGTCGCCAATGCCGGATGATGGGTAATTGAACCGAAAGTAATAACGATGATGATAATGCGAATTGTCGGTTTTGTTGGGTTGTCTGCCCTGCGCGCCGACGCCAGGGCCGGAAGCATGGCGTTGGCGCCGCGTGACGTGAGGGAGGGAGCTTTTTTTGCCTGAAAAATTTGAAACTTTTCAAAAGAAAAAAATAGAAAAAATTCAAGTATTTTTAGAAAAATTGAAAAAAATTAAAGCTACTAAGGAAGCAATTAAAACATCTTGACAAGAAAATCTTGGAAAATGTTCTATAACCAATTTTCTGGAAAATTAAAATACCAACTGTGGTGGTCAACTGAACAGTGGTGTGGCAGAGGGTCGCGTCCAGTACAGTGATTGGCAACCCTGAATGGGCGTCCTTGGGCGGTGGCAGCAGCGGCGTCTAATAGGGCGAGGTGTAGGCCAACGTGCCCGCCAACGTGGAGTCGACAGTATGGCTCAGAGTACATTAAGGTAATTCCTATGCCTCATTAGGATGGCCAGTTAGTGAGTTGGGCCCCAGGCGAGAAGGAGAGAGAGAGAGAGAGAGAGAGAGAGAGAGAGAGAGAGAGAGAGAGAGAGAGGAGGTATACCAAACGTCGCGTATTATCGAAGGATGTCCCAATTTTCAACGTTCATTACGCGGGGCCCCCCGTTCGTCTTTGTGACCCTCCGCAGGGGGAAATCATTTTACTAATTTAAAGAAATAGTAATTATTTCGTGGCACGTACTCGTCATAATGATTCCTCGAAACTTGAGAAAGAAAACACCCGTATAGTCCTTTTGCAAGTCCTCACTAACGATGATATGCAGACGATTATTTTGAAATTTTGGTTGCTAAATGCGCGGAACGTGGGACGTTGATTTGTTCGTTGTGGTAAAAGTGGCGCTTAGGTGGACTGGAGATACAAGTACAAAGGGCATTGTGCACTTCAGAAGGAGTCGTTCGTCCCGGTTCGTCCTTCTGTCCACCTCACGGTCGTGCGAGGTCCGCGGGGCGCGTGCGGGAGTGCTAGCGGGGAGCACGCCCGCACGGTACGAGCACGTACCGTAGGCTACCGTCACTTAGTGACAACTAGAGAGATGGTTTTCATGTAGGAGACAGTTGCCTGATGGAAGAATGTTGTTTGTTTTCCCTTATTCCTCGAATGACCCCTTGACCTCTCCGTCTTGCTAGGCGGGCGCGTGAGAAGCTTCCTTCTTGCTCGCGCTAAGTGGATTACAGAGTATATTACAGGTGTCCGTGGTGGCGGCGGTGCTGTGCTCCGCCTCTGCAGGGCGGCCGTCCCCTCCCCTCCTCTCGTTAGAGGCTTATTACAAAGTCATCATTTCAGGTCGATAATTAATACGGCAGGAACAGGTCCTGATCAACGTGTGTCGGGGCGGGGCCGGGCCCGCCACCCCCCATCACTACTTAACAACATTTTGACCCTTTCGCGTTATCTCTGATTTAATCCCGGCGAGGTCGATCGGCGAGCGCCGGGCTATGGAGCCGTTTGAGCAGCGTCCGCGCCGTGATTTGATTTGTTACCGCATATGCGGGAAAGTGCGTCCAGGGTGTTTTTGACACGCCCTGTAGGACCGGCTCCTTGTGTGTCATGCGTGCTGGATCCAAGAATACAAAAAGTGTACGTTTGTGTATTTTACCACTGAGTAAAAGGAAAATGAGATGCGTAGAAGTTTTATAGTAAAGTATTTATTTTTCATTTAACTTTATAAATTAATATTTCTTTTGAATGGTTGATCAGTGTACAGGGATATAGACTAAAGTGCCCTCTTTGAGTTTTACCCAGTTATGCGAACAATAACCGGATCAAAAAAAAGAAAAATAATCGCCACTTAACAAATTGCGGATAAACATACATGTAATGGTAAGGAGCTCCGTCAGGTACACATCGAAATGATGATAATTTCCCCACTAATAAATAATAAAATACTGATTCACGTATTCATAAATCACATACAGAAAATGGACGGAACCGTGGGTGTAATACATTGTGTTATACTGTTTCATTTCTATACTTTTATATAGATACAATATATACTTTTTTATTATATTTAAAAATCCATAACAACTTAATCTAGGGACTGTGACACACACTATACCAATAATTTGGTATTATCACAATAAATAAGTACAGATCGTCAACAGAATTGTAGGATTCTATACGCATCCAACAACAAACATTTACACTTTTAAAAATGTAAAACAATAAAAACCAACGTAATGACATACATTGAGAAACAATTTAAATGAAAAGCTTATAACTACGTATTGCACTTCCTTCAGCTAGCACAGCCAAACGGTTTCACCACGAAACCTCTCCAGTGGAACGCGTCTTAGGTGGCTGTTTTCAAAATTCACGAACGAAAAATAAGACTGCTTAACCATGCATTGCAGTGTCACACATCAACAAAAACAGCTGGCGGCCCAGCAAGCATGCGCCCCGTTAGAATATCACAAGAGGCTCAGCGGACCGCAGCCACCACGGTGGTGGCTGTCCCGAGGACATCAAAGGACAGGGTCTTCGACTAGCTGACCAGGTCGCCGCCAGTCTTCCGCAGCATTTCCAGCCGGATCTCGTGCTCGCGGGCCTTGAGGCGGAGGGCCGCGATGGACGACGATCTCCGGTCGATGTCGGGGGCGGCGCCGCCCGGGGGCGAGCCCGGGGCGGGCGGGGGCGGGCCCGAGGTGGGCGGCGTCGGCGGGGTAGAGCCGCCCGCGCCGTCCGGGGGCGACATGGCGGCCAGGATGGCGGCGGCGTGCTGGAACTCCTCGCTGGCGCCCTTCTGCGCCCCGCGTTGCTGTTGCTGCTGCTGCTGCTGCTGCTGTTGCTGCTGGTGGTGCTGCTGCTGTGCGGCAGAGATGTTGGCGAGCAGGCTCTGGAAGGAGGCGGGCGAGTAGCCCAGCGGCATGGGCAGCCCCATGGGCAGGTGGTGCGGCGGCGCGCGCGGCGGCAGCAGCGGGTAGCCCAGCGGCGGGTAGCGCAGCGGCTCGAAGGGCTTCCGCAGCGGGAAGTGCGTGAAGGGGTTGGGCATGGGCGCCGGGGCCATGACGGCGGCGGGCGGCGCGGGCCCCGTGCCCTGCATGTACGGGTTGTACGGGTGGCCCTGGGGGCCCACCTTCTCCTGCTTGCGCCACTTCGCGCGACGGTTCTGGAACCAGACCTGCAACAGAAGAGACGGCGAAGGGCGGGGTTAGGAGTGCATTTTAACAAATTCATTCTTTCTCAACAACACTGAAAAAGCCGCTAACTTGCATGTTCTTAGAGAACCTTCGTTCAGAACCCTATCACATGTAGGCTCGTTTGATCGGAAATTTTTCGGGGAATTCGATGGTGCTTTCGAAAATTTAATATGAGGGCCTACTCAGAAAATATTCTAGAAAACTTGTGCGTCATCATCTAGTGATCGACATGCGTCGCAGTTTCTAGTGGCTTTGCTACGCCGTGCATTTAACAAAACACCCCGTCCAACACCGCAACGACCGACCAAAGCGCGGGGGAACTTGAAACACAGACAACAACAACAAGACGAAATAAGCGACGCGGCGGCGGCGGCGCGACAGCGGATGTCACCGGAAACCCCCGGCGCGCTACGCTACCTGCGAGCCGCCGCCTGGGGGATAACTCGATAATTGGGTGGAAATGCAGCGAGTGTATCCCTCGGCTTGCAAGGAAAGACTCTGCCGACGCTGCGCGGCACGGGGACAGAGGGAAGGCGCACCCCCACTCTCTCCCACATACACACACGAACACACACACACACCTAGATGATTGCATCGCAGAGGCCCCGTCATAAAGGTGCCACGCACCTCGCCCGCTCCCCAACGCCACCCTCCCTCCCTTCCCCCTCGTCCTCCTCCACCCCCTCCTCGCGACCCTTCCGTCCCCATTCATGTGCTCTGCAGTGTTATGTTGTTGTTGTTGCTGCTGCTTTCGCCTTGCGTGCGGAGAACAACACACCACCTGTCCGTCATTCACACAAAGTGTGAAGAATTTTGTGCATATCCGGAAGGAAAAAAACGACAACAAGATAACAATAAGAAAAGTGAGATGGTTGCTCTTTTTTTATTTCCTCCGCGTCTTCGCGCTGTTTCCCGTCTTCTATGACCCGTCGTCTACCTCATATCTCTTGTTCCTGTCTCCTTGTCTTGCTATACAACAACACACACTCACACGCACGCACGCACGCAAACACACACACACACACGCACGCACACTCACGGCACAACCCGCTCATCCAGAGGACGCATGTAACATGTGTAACGCGGACACTTGCCAAACTGACAACGCTTAATTAGCATTAATTCGATATGCAATTTTAAAATATGCATTGGAAAAGAGGCGCAGTCGAGACAAGTGAGATGAGTATAATTGCACAACTAGACGGGAGATGGTGGTGGCGGTGAAGAAGGGGGCAAGGCGGGAAGGGAGTGAATAGGAAAGGCAGATAAACTAAAATACACTTTCATATACTCTCTAATAATTAAAGTCTCGCCTATTCAAATCTGACTTTCCCGCTGTTTCGCAGCTTTTTCATTTCTTGCTCTGAGGTGGTTCTAGGGAATGGCCAGTGGCTCCCGCACGACGGGTCTGTACTTCAACAGGAAGGCGAATAACACCCACACCTCACTTACTCGGGCAGGTACGCCCTTCTGCC